CTGTAGTTCCTCGAGTACAGATCCTTTACCTCTTTGGCTAGGTTTATCCCCAGGTATCTTATGGTTCTTGGTGCTATAGTAAATGGAATCGATTCTCTAATTTCCCTTTCAGTATTTTCATTGTTAGTGTATAAGAAAGCCAGTGATTTCTGTACATTGACTTTGTATCCTGCCACGTTACTGAATTGCTGTATGAGTTCTAGTAGTTTGGAGGTGGAGTCTTTTGGGTTTCCCATATAAAGAATCATGTCATCTGTGAAGAGAGAGAGTTTGACTTCTTCATTGCCAATTTGAATACCTTTTATTTCTCTTTGTTGTCTGATTGCTGTTGCTAGGACTTCTAATACTATGTTGAACAAGAGTGGTGAGAGTGGGCATCCTTGTCGTGTTCCTGATCTCAACGGGAAGGCTGCAAGCTTTTTCCCATTGAGGATGATATAAGAGAAATGTCTCTCCATCCCCTAATTTTAATCCACAAGTGTCTTTAGGTCTGAAATGAGTCTGTTGTAGACAGCATAGAGATGGGTCTTATTTTTTCATCCTTTGTGTCACTCTTTGTCTTCTGATTGGAATATTCAGTCCATTTACATTCAACATAATTATTTATAAATACATATCAATGTATTTTGTAGTTGTTTATGAAGATTTACTTTGATCATATCTTGTAGTTCCCTCTTTAGTGGTTTGCTTACTTTCTTTAGTAATATACTTGATTATTTTCTCTTTATTCTTTGCATATTTGTTAGTGTTTTTGATTTGTTGTTACCATTAGGTTTGTGTATAATAACGTCTACATATAGAAGTCTATATTAAGTTGATAGTCATTTACATTTGAACCCATTCGTTTTTCTCCTCCTCTCATTTTAATATTTATTTAATTTAATATATGCTGATATATATATATATTCATATATATATTCATATTCATATATATATTCATATATATATATGTATTCATATATATATGCATCCTTTCATATATATGAAATATATGAATATATATATGAAAGGATGCATAAGAGGGGAGGGCCACAGAGAAAGGAAGAAGATTATTTTAAACAGGCTCTCTGCCCAACATGGAGGTGGACTTGGGGCTTGATCTTAGAACCATGAGATCATGAACAGAGCCAAAATCAAGGGGCTCAACCAAATGAGCCACCCAGGCCCTCTATGCTTTTAAATTTTATTTTATTTTTTAAGTTTTTATTATTTGACACAGAGAGAGAGAATGAGAGCAAGCACATGCAGGGGGAGCAGCAGGCAGAGGGAAGGGGAGAAGCAGACTCCCCGCTAAGCAGGGACCCCGATGTGGGGCTTGATCTCAGGACCCTGAGATCATGATTTCAGCCAAAGACAGCCGCTTAACCAACTGAGCCACTGAGGCGCCCCATATGCTTTTATATGTTAAATTCTTTTATCTTCTGAGTTCCTTACTCAACATTTTATAAAAATATTCATTTTTACTGCCTTTATGTTTCCTACCTTAATGCAATAACTTTTGGTTTCCTGTTTCCCCTCAGAGTGTCCCCTTTTATTATTTCTTGCAGAACTGGTTTACTGGTCACTAACTCCTTTAGCTGTCCCTTTGCTGGGAAACTCTGTCTTTCCTTTTGTTCTGAATTATATCCTTATTATATAGAATATTCTTGGCTACAGATTTTTCCCATTTAGCACTTTGCTTTGAATATATCATGCCACTGCTTTCTGCTGTAAATCCACTCTTATCCTTATGGACTTTCCCTAGTATGTAATTTTGTTTGTAATAAATGTAATAAATAAATAAATAACTAAATAAATATAAATGTAATAAATTTGTATGTAATATTACTGCTTTCAAAATTTTGGTTTGTCACTATATTTGCTATTTTAACTATAATATATCGTCATGGACCTGTTTTTTGTTGAGGGGTTTCTGTGTTTCTCAGATCTGGATTTATTTTCTTCTGATTAAGGAAGATTCAACTACTATCTCTTTAAATAAATACTCTGGTCATTTTTTCTCTTCTTCCTGACTCCTATAAAATGAATGTTACTACGTTTGATGGAGTCACTAGGTTTTTTCTCATTTTGTGTATTGCTCTCTTCTCTCTTCTGCTCAGCTTAATTAGTCTTGTTATTATTATTCTCTGTCTTCATTATTCTGTCTTCTAGATCATTAATTTGTTGCTCTGTTTCTGCTATTCTAATCTTTGTTCCTAATCTTCATATCCTAATCTTCAAATGAGAATATTTCTCATTCATTTATAGCTCTTTTTCTCTGATGTTATTTTTTGTGTGTTAGTGGTCTCACTGATGTCTTCTGCTCTTTTCTCAATTCAATGAGTATTATTATGACCATTATATTGAATCCTGTATCAGTCATGTTACTTAGTTCTGTTTTGCTTAAACATCTGGCCCTAGCCTTATCTTGTTCTTTCATTGAAGATAAATTTCTCCATCTTTTGATTTTGTCTAAGTCTCTGTGCTTGTTTCTTTGTGTTGGGGAAGTTAACTACATTTCCTTTTCTGGATGGTAGTGGCCTTAGGAAGAAGAGGTTATGTAATTTCCTGCTGTATAGTGTCCCTGTTCTCCACCGGCTGCCACTTCCAGGCATGCCGCCAGCGTGCATTGCATTTGTTCTCTTGTTTTATTCTGGCCACTTTATCATTCCAGCCAGTCTTCTACATAGGCTCTCTTTGCCTGCTCTGGGCAGTGTTTGGTCTCTGGCCTAATGTGATAGGTTTTTACTATGTGTGCTCTGGACTACTTATGAAATGAAAAGTATTTGCACTGCCTCTGGAACCAAGGCTTCACAAAACTCTCAGGTTGGGAGATACGGGTAGGCAGGGGTTTGTGCTAGGCTTATGGGGAAGCCCACCATGGTGAAAAATCCACCAGACTGAGACTGCGACAGATTTGACTGAGAAGGGCAGTCCTGCCAGAGCACAAGGGTGTGGAGCTTGATGTAAACAGGTTTGTGTAGCAAGTGACCATGGTGCACTGGTTACCACAGGTGGCCCTGTGTTTATTCTGAGGGGCAGAGGAAGTAAATGGCGCCTGTGAGATCCTTTATTCCTGGAGATGGTCTTTTTGTGAACACTACCTCTTTGGGACATCTTCTGAAATGAAGTCACTCTGCTGTGTGCCCCCGGAGCTCTTCATATTGCTGTTTCCACACTCTATGTTCCAGTCTATTTACCTGCCTTTTTTCTAGGAGAAGTGTCAGTGCCCCTGGACTTTCCCAGAGCCAAGCCTACTGCCTCTACAGTCTTCAGCCCTGCTGGTTGCAAGAAATTACAACATTCAGCCCCTTTTGCTTTCCAAGCTAATTCCTAAGGGGTTTGTTTTCCTTGTGTATGTGCGTCCTAGTGTGTCTGTCACCCTTCTTCTCCACAATTCCTCCCTACTCAGTGCAGTGGCCATGATCTATTTTTCTCCTAAACCACATCTTCATACTTTCTGCCTTCTTTGATATGGCTTCTTCTGTCTCTTTAGATGTGTAATTTGTTCTCTCCATCTTCAGATCAATTTCTGTTGCATTTCAGATAATTTGATAGTTAACGTAGTTTTGTTCACCGGGTGACATGACTGTAGGGTCTTCCTGCTGTGACACCAGCATCCCCTCCCAAGTGTCAGTAAAATGTTAAAAGTATTTAAAAATTAATTAAAAGTAGTTTAAAAGCTCAGTTCCTCCAGTACCACTTAAGTTAAATTTTTAAATTTATTTCTCTAATAAAATAAAATTTTGCTTCATTTTTATTGTTTACTATGTTAGTGACACCTAACTAAGCAAGCTAACAGTTGAAAAAGAATTCCACTTGGGATGAGACCTATAATAGTTCCTAATATTTTGACAAATGATATGTAATTAAAATGGGCCATAAAGAAATGATGGATTTGGAAACGTAACAATAAGGCAATTATTCTTTTTAGGGAAGTAGCATATATGTAACTATACAGACTGTGTTTGCAAGTCAATTTTGATAATAATGATGAGCTTAGCAGGGCTAGGAAGGATGAAAACTTTTAAAGATGGGCTACTGAATTTACTTTTATTCTCAGCTTTAGCAGATCGAATTTCTCTACGATATACCATGCCTTGGCAAGCCATGATCATTAGTTGTGGCAGTCAGATTTGCAGCGGTTCCATTGTTAGCAGCTCTTGGGTTCTCACTGCTGCCCATTGTGTCAGGAACATGTAAGTTTGCATCTGCTTCATCTAATACACTGTATTACAGTATTTTCAAATTAGTTAATTGAAGTCTTCTTTGGATTAATTTACTTCAGATTATGTTTGAACAGTATCTCTTATCTCTATAACATCTTTGTATCAGGCCAAGCAAGAAATTTGCCTCAGTGTGCTTGATTGATATCTGTCTTAGTTAATACCTTTCTAATTCCACTGTGTATGAATTTTGAGTTTTTGTAGGGTTCCGAATTCCCTACAGGTAAAGTAGGAACATTGTACTTCATAACTAGTGGAATACATTAGAAAGCCTAATACTAATGGCTGCTAAGGGCTCATATTTCCCAATGAATATATTCATAATTTTTAAATTATATATTTATTTTCTTTTTTTTTAATTTAATTTTATTTTTTCAAGCCAATAATTAGAATATATTCTAATTAGTCTTGAACTACATACTTAGGAATCCTGAAGATACTTCTGTAATATTGGGCCTGAAGCACCCTGGAACATCTCTGAGAGTTGTTAAGGTGTCTAGCATTCTACTGCATGAGAGATTTCGGTTGGTGAGTGGGGCAGCAAGAAATGATCTAGCACTGCTGCTCCTTCAAGAGGTCCACACTCCCATTCAGCTCTTAGCACCACTGGGACATCTAAAGAACTTCAATAGCTCAGAATGCTGGCTTTCTGGGCCAAGAGTTCTCAAACCAGGTCAGTAGTTACTTTGCTTATTAGGACAGTGGTTCTAAGACATGTGAGATGGAGGGTCCATTTGTTTGATGTTAAAATTCAGGTAAGAACTCTAACCAGTAGTGTCTCCATTAATTTTAATTTTAATTTTTTTATTTTAATTTTTAATTTTAATTTTAATTAATTTTAACTTTTAATCAAAATCAGATATACCCTGGGATTGGTTTTACTTATAAATGATAGTTTTGATAATAATTCCATAAGTTTTCAATTGTGCAAAACAACGCAAGGAAAATCTTTCTGTGCACAGTCAAGTTCCATAAATAAAACAAACATGAACTGCTTCCTAAGTATGTTAACTTTATAATAAAGAAAAACATAGGTCTTTGTTTTTATTTATATTTAAGAAAATGAAGCTATATTTGTCTGAAATTTATTTTACAAATGAAAATCAAATTGTTAATTATTTGAAATGGAATTTAGAAAGTGAGAGAAATTATTATAATGGGTAAATTTGTGCAGTAAGATGGTGATAACAAATAAATGAAATTTCTTAGAACTAAAACTTAGAGATAATTTAAAGTGATCATGATATCATCTTATTAGTTTGTGTTACAATGTAGTCTATGTCCCTTGGACTTCTTACTTTTTAACTCTTTTTTTCTAGGAGAGACTGATGAGGATCCGGAAGTGTTACAGATGCAGGTGATGGGAGCTTCAAGTTGTGCCCACCTCTACCCTGACATTGGCAGTTCTATTATCTGCTTCATTACTCAGGCGAAAGGCTTAGATACAAATGTGGTAAACAGCTCCTTTTCCTTTTTTTAAAATTCTAATTTATAGAAACTATAACTTCTTCTATTTATAAAAGTGTAAACCATGCAATCAATAAGTTAGAAATATAAGAAATTGGATTTTTATTGAATGGGAAAAAACAAAATTACAGAACAAAGTTCCACAAAAAAATGTTATTAATCTCCAGTTTATCTGACACTTGTTATTCTTTTTTTAAATTTATTTATTTGACAGAGAAAGAGAGAGAGATCACAAGTAGGCAGAGAGGCAGGCAGAGAGAGAGGGGGGATGGAGGCTCACTGCCAAGCAGAGAGCCCGATGTGGGGCTCAATCCCAGAACCCTGAGATCATGACCTGAGCCGAAGGCAGAGGCTTAACCCACTGAGCCACCCAGGTGCCCCTGACATTTGTTATTCTTAACTATCAACACTGAAAAGTTCTTTTAGTAGTTGCCAAAGAAATTAGCCATTTCATCTAATTCTGTATCTTCTAATTTCTGCCTCCTAAGTTTCATCATATGTGAAACCTTAATTTGCCTTTATAAAGACCATCTTTATGGACTGTCAATAGCTTTATCAGCAGTATATCTATGAGAGGAATCTATTTGGTAATTATGTTGATTGGATTCTGTAACTATATGAGACCTCTTTATTTTTTCAATAGTTTTCCTTTTTTCCAACTAACAAAGTCTAATATTAGTGTTTTAGGGATGCCTGGGTGACTCCGTAGGTGAAGCATCTGTCTTCAGCTCAGGTCATGATCTCAAAGTCCTGGAATCAAGTGCCACATCAGGCTTCTTGCTCAGCAGGGAGTGTCTTTCTCCCTCTGTCTGCCATTCTCCCTGCTTGTATGTGCTCTCTCTCTCTCTCTCTTCTTTCTCAGAAATCTTTAAAAAACAGACTGATTTAACCAAAATTCTACTATTGCCTTTCATAGGAACCTGTGACTCCTGGAAGTGCTGTTATGTGCAGACCAGTGTCTGGAAATGGCAGCTGGAGACAGATAGGCCTTACCAGTCTAAAGGCACTTGCTACCATTGTCAGCCCACACTTCTCCTGGATATTATCCACATCAGCAAAAGCAGGTCATCCCCTAAACCAGGCAGTCATGCCTTGGGTGGAAAAGCTAAAGTCATCCAGTCTTCATAAACAGGCAACAACACTACCACTTTCATCATTAATGATTCTCGCAATGCAGAATCTGTTGTAAACCAGTGGTTGTCCTGAACACTACTACTCCAGTCACATTGTGATAAAAAAAAAAAGAGATCAGAACATAAATCAAAACAAACCAGTTGAATTAAGACCCTAGGTTCTCCCCAGTTATTCCTTATAAAAGCATCTATTCTATTAAAATGAGAGTCTATCGAGTTTAACAATTTGAAATTTCAAAAATTTAGAACCTCCAAAATGACATTTGTATAATAGTGAATAAGATAACATAAAAAATAAATTTCATCAACAAACACACACATATTTTATTCTCACTATGTACAACTTTAGGGGGCCCATGTACTCCAATATATATACAAATAAACCTATTTTATTTGTTAAGAATAAAGAGTATTTTATAGTTTCAAGTAGTAAAAACATAAAGAGATTATTATACAATGCACACAAAACCTTAAATTATTACATAAAAATAAAACTAAAAAGAATTGAGTAGTTTTGTTTGGAATTCCCTGATGTAATAAAACAATTTAACAGAGAGCAAAAAAATTATGTTTTTACTTCTTGAAACTATAAAATAATCTTTATTCTTAACAAATAAAAAAGAAAAANAAAAAAAAAAAAAAAGGAAAACAAGAAACAGAACCTGAATTATTAAAATCATCTCAGTAAGAAGACAATAGAGAGTGGCTTGGATTATAAAGATTATAAAAATTAAGCAGAAAACATGTATATAAAGGCAAGGTAGTTGTATGAAACAGAAGAATCAATAAAAACACATGCAAAAACACATAGCATGATATAATAAATTAACTGCATTTGAAATTAAAATTAAGAAAAAAGAAAGACTAGGAAAAATGAAAAAAATATCATGAATACAATTGTCTCTAAAGGTATGACCATCACAGACAATTTTATTTTTGTACAAAGAAATTCCATTGACCCACATTGGAAGACAGACAGCATGAGCCTTTCATGGAGCCACAATCATACAACAAAGCAGACCCAGATGCCCATCCCGTGAGACAATGTCTGGGCGAATCCTGTGGAGAAGGTGGTAGGAGATGCTGTCTGTCAGCCAGGTGACTACAGTGTGCACCCTTTGGAAGGCCGGACAGCAAGAAGCTGAGGCTGGCACTCAGGTGACTCAAAGCACGTATGCATGCACCTTCACCATTGGAGAAAGAGCACCTTGCATTGCATTCTGCCAACATTACAAATGCCATGGGAGGGTTCCTGGCTTGCCTGGTCTGCAGAGGAGAACACGTCCTCCCTCGCCTTCCCATCTGCAGGCCAGCCAGGTCAGACCATCAATGGAACAGCAGGTTGGGCCATCACATCCTCAGTGCTGGCCTCTACACGTGGAGAGAAAATACCCAAAGTGTGGCTTCGGACCAACAAATTAGGCTTGGGACATTTGGTTTGGGGCGAATGCAAGCCAATGACTCCCAGCATTATAGGAATGGACGGGTTTTTTACACCATGTCTCAGTCGACTCAGTCGTCAAAGTGCCACACGTACAGTGGCCTGGACACGGAGGTACCTGTTGTGGTAGCTCTGGAGGTTCTTCGTCCTCAACATATTCCCGGCAGTTCCATACTGATTCTTGAGGCCACAGCATCTTCTGTGCCTTCGCACAGGTCTTTGGCTCTGTCTCCTGTATCAGCCATGGATGCATGGCTCTGAGCCATGGCTCCATTCCTAGGGCGGCCTGACCAATTTTATCGCAGGGGTTAGAGCTGTACAGAGTTCATACCAGCTGCATTCTGAGGTGCTAGTGGTGTTCAGTACAACCATGTGTTTAAACATCCATGTGTTCAGACCAAGGTTTCTGTGTGTGCCCACAGGTGCACATGTATGCAGGTAGATGTAACACTATCGGAAGGGGTACACGAGTATGGCCTTCCACGTACACATAACTGCATATGGAAGCATGTGCATGGACAGGCTTATTATCAAGTCCATGGGGCTGATGAGCTGGCATCTAGATACTTGCTGCCTCAATTTAGGACAGGGACCGATGTTTCATGGTTAGTGGCTTTATTATGGCTTATGTTGCACAAGTCAGTCTTGCAGAGGATGCTAGACAGGATATGCTCGTGCTCTAGTTGAGGTGGTAAAATGGAAAGCCAGTGCGGTATTGACCTTAGCCATCCCGGCTCCCTGTTTTGGTGGTGGGGACCCCCGCCCTGACGCCCTCACCCTCCATGCACTGCTACCATGTGGGGCTCCCTGACGTCCCAAAG